CACCATTTCCTTGGTTTCAGAGGAGCTCATGAAGATGCAACCTCTTCCTGAGTGTCTGAATTTCATTGCTCAAGACAACACAGACCTAGAAAGAAAGACTGCTATCTAAATTTTAATTGAGGGGAATTTACTGGCCCCAAATTGCAATGATTCAGAGTATGGTGATGTTGGTGACTGATATTGCCTTTCCTGTAAGAAGTGCAGGCCTCCTGGGATGTTCCTGTGCTCCTGCCTTTCCAGTGGTTAGCTGCAGGCTTGCTATCCCCAAATCTGCTTCTCCTTTTGTAAGACACCAGATGGCTAGCCCCGAGTCTACTCCTGTCCTTGAGTCACTCAGTCTTCAGACTTCCCTGAACTCAGGTGTGGCTGATGCCCAGCTCTACTCTTTCATAGAATCCCACCTATATGGGATGTAGGTGATGGTGCCCTTAGAATTAAGCAGTAGTCCCAAAGATGTTGGACTTTCCAGGATCCCAGATCATCCAAGCTTGAGACCCCCAGCACTCTTGAGACACAGCCTTCCAGTATCCCTGAGCATCAGTCACCCAGCACACCTAGGCACCAACTTTAAAGCACCCTTGAGCATCAGCCTCCCAATGCACTCATATGCATATGATTTGCAGCATTCCCAAACCTCAGCCACACAGAGCCTCAGAGGTCCGGTCTGGATCTCAGCCAGATGTTACAGATGCCTTATCTCTTTCTGAGCATGAATCAGAGCATCTTCCTCAGTTGGTCATTGCTGTGAACATATCACCTGTTCCTGAGTTGGCCTGGGTGGTCAATACTTCAAAGTTGGTTCCTGGACCCACCACTCTGGACGTCACCTCCCCAGTTTCACATTTGGTTCCTGGGTGTGCCTTCCTGGTGGACACCTCCTCGGCTTCTGAGTTGGAACCTTGGTCAAACTCTGTGCTGATTCCCCTTTAACTCCACAGACTATTCCTGGGCTGACCCTCTCAGCTGATGCTTTCTCAGTTCCTTGGCCTCTTTCTGGGACAGTTGCACTGGTTCCCCAGCAGGTGGTGTCTCCCTTTACCCTCATCATGCCAGCTCCTGAGTTAACCCCTTTATCCAAAACCACTCCAGCTCCAGAGTCATTTTCCATTACAGAAGCCTTATGAGCTCAGAGTCAGTCCATAACACTAATGCACAGTCTATTCCAGTGCTGGCCTCCATTGCCAACATCCAGCCTGATCCAGGTGGTTTGTTCCCAGAGTGGTTCACTCTTTGATGCTGACCTCCTGTCCACTGTCCAGATGGTTTTCTTCTTTTACACTGGCCTCTTGACCAAACCCTAGAGTGGTTCTGTCCTCCGTGCTGGCCAAGGAGATAACCACTTACAGGTAGATTGTTTCTCCTGTTTGGTTGTTTGGACTCTGACTTCACCTCAGCTTTTTCCCTGTCTGCTTTTGTTCCACTTGGATTCACAGTAAGCCTCTCTCTATAAATAAACTGCATCGGTCTGTCTGTCTTCCTCTCATGTGTCTACAACTGTTATTTCTTAACAGAAAACATGGCAAACAAGAACTGTCAGCTAAATAAGAAAAAGGAGCCAATACTTGCCACTTAGAATTGGACTTTTTTTGTTTGCTTTTGTACTGCATCACTAGATTTTTTTCCTTAACTCCTGCTTGCCTGTATACTAGGGCTAATTAGTTTCAAAGATGTTTTGTTAAGTACTGTACTATGCTGGAAAAGAGCAGTTCACCTTGGGCTGTGTTATTGGAAGATGAACAGAAATAAAAAAGGAAACATTTGCAAAGGAAAAAAAGTAAATTATGGAGAGCTCTAGGGGAACACTTTATGGCAAGACTCAACAAAGAGGAGGCAAAAAATACAAAGACCCAACACTTGTGTACCCCTTTACATAGCAATAAATTCACATAGCTGCATAAGATAACTCATGAAAGCATGATAAATAAATACTCTGCAGATATCCCAATCAATCATGTTACAGGCTTTACTAACAGCAGTCAGTTTGTCCTCTGTGCTGCTGTCAATAATTTTTTAGTTTCCTCAGTTACTTTCACAAAGACATACAGTAGCTTCATTACTAACACAGGGATATACACTCTCTCCATATTTTATAATGGTTTAATCCTGACAAAAGTGGATAAACTAGGTGATGCATCTTTAACAAGCTGCAATCAGAAAGACCATATATGCAGTGATTACAGTTTTTTTTTCATTGTACTATTTTAATAACAAAGAAACTTTATAAAGTTACTTGCAAATAGCCCCGAGACCCCACCTGTATTTCACACAATGGATGCAGCTGTTAGTAAATTACTGTGGTTATAAGAGCAGAGTTTTTCTTTCTTCCTTGCCCAAAAGCTGATAAGTCGTGTTATCAAACTGATGAGTGAATATTTATGTACTATACCTCTACAATAAATGTTTTTATCATCACAATTCATACAAGAAAGAATCTGTAGTTTCATATACAGTATGTCCATGTCATGACATCAAATAAAGTCAAGTTTCCGTAGAACTTTTAAGGAAGATGAGAGGAGCTGGTTTGATTGGCCATTACTAAAGCCAGCCCCAACTCCACCTGCTCTGGATAACTGGACAGCAACAGCTCTCAGAGCACTGGCAGAGGTACCATTAGCCATCTGTGATCAAGTTGCCCACCAGTTACAAAAAAACAACAAAAAAACAAGTCACTAATCTACAATGCCGTTCACCACAGACTACACCATATATTGAGATTTAAATTACATATTTTATATTTGTATTTTGAGGAGGTACTTTACACTGTTCAAATATCCTGTAGTTGTAAGTGAAGGCTCACCTTAATGAGATGATATGCTCAGACAGGACAGTGAATTGATGTTGCTGAGTTGTGCATGTTAAACTAAACAGTTTGCTTTTCCAGTGACTTCAAGATATTTGTAATGCTCAGTAGAACTACCCGCTCAGTCTACTTTACAGAATTTGGGCTTCATTAAGGTAGCTAGCATAACATAGCTGCTGAGGCTACTTACAGAAGGATGTTCATATTTTCGACATGTTTGAGTTATTTGTTAAAAACTCTTTGTTAAAAGGTTTGCACTGGGCTGGTCTGAGGGTTTATGATTAAAAATCTACCACATCATGCTGACATACATGTAGACTCTGTGGGAAAGGACGTCTCTTAGCAGGAGACACCGTGATATGTTGTATATACTATATAACATATCACAGACTAAATATGCAAAATTTAGGGTAAAATCTTGATATAGAGATAAGGAAGATAAGGGAACTCAAAATGCTTCAACTTCACTGGTTACAGTAAATGATCATCCATCCCAGTTCATTCAAGTCAATGGCTGGGTGAATCAGGTAACTTGGGCCTCACATGATTGATTAGCTAGAAACTTGCAGATGACACATCACAAGCTGATATATATTCCCACAACATTTTAAGGTCTGAAAACACTGAATCATGAACAGGACAACCTTTTACTTTCCACCCAGAAAAAACACCTCCACTGTATTGTACTATCGTGCTGCTGCTCTGAGACCTTGTCTCCCACACCAATCTCTGCTCCATCTATGAATAATTATAATGATCGACAGTTGGAATGACAACACGTACTTCAAGCTTTATTAAGTCACACTTGCAGTATCATCGTATCAGCAAGCAGATGGGTGGGGGTTTTGAGAGAGTAGAATGTGAGAGATGCAAATAACAAGGAAGAGAGATGGGGAGTTGGAAGATGACAGGAGGAGAGGGGGAGCTGAGGGGTTGATTGCAGGAGGTGTGTGTTTTTGTGTATGTGAGCCAAAGAGAGAGAGTGAGAGAGAGGATGAAGATGAGGCTGAGGCAGAGACAAACAAGCTGTATGTACTTGGTGTTCACCATCACAGCGTTTAAACTTTGAAGCACAAAACCACGTCGGCAAAGGTCCTTGTACAGACCACAACAAGGAAGTGCACATCAATTATGTCATGCTAATTTCAAATTAAACCGCCTCTCATCACAGGTGGGTGGAGAGCTGTGCGCTTGCTGATTAACACCGCAGTGAGATGGGCCATCTGCAGCCATGCGGTATCCAAATATGAGGAGAGACAGCATGAGTTAGCACAGTCACATCTTAACCATGTTGTGACAGCTTGTGCTCTGTGCTGATACCTTTAATGTGAGGTAGGTGACCACCCAGGAAATATGAGAAAATATGCTTTTAAGAGCATTTCACGCTTAATTAAAAATGATCCTGCAATTTTTGATCTCTGTTATTCTCTAGATTAAGCAATTTTCATTTTTTGTGGTGTCTGGTTTTCTATCACATGAAGAAAAAAACAAAAACAAAATTGCCACTTCATGGTCCTATGCCTTCACCAACCAGTCAAATTCACAGGAATTTAAACTTGTATGTCTAAATGACAAACCTGAGCATGGTAAGAAAGGCAAAACAGGATGTTTTCCAGGAAAAACAGCAAATTTTGAGAGGTGTACAACATTCAAACTATTTAAGGTATTTACATATAGTGAAACAAATATCTTTGTCATAGAGCTGACACTGTGGAACATATACTGTAAAGTGTGATAAAAAAAAAAATCAAGTGTTATAAAAAAGTAAACCAAAAATAAATCAACAATAAACACATGAGACACAAACACATCTCTACAGACTTCACACTTGCCCACACATGCATTTCGATGGATTCCTTGTGAACTTTGGTGGGTGGGAGTAGGTGTCACTGATGGGATTCAGCAAAAAACTTCTCTCCAGTTGCCACTTACTGTAACATATATTGCTAGACATTCTGATGATGGGTTAATGTTGACTGTGTATGGTAGCATATGCATAAGTACTCTACATTCCTATATCCTGTAATAAAAAACAAAAAAAAAAACAAATAGGTGATGTTGCTGCACATCACTTTTTGTTCAATGAAGCTATTTTCAAAGAATCTCTTAAAAGAGACTGAACAATGTTGGCATACAGTTTTCCAATTGAGCATTGGCTAATGAACAATTAACCAACATACAGCTTATAATTATTATTACAGCATTATTACAGACACCTGGGCACTTAGTTTAAAGTCATTTCCACACATACCATATGTTCCCACACATATGAATGATTACATTATCAGCGACAACTTGTATGAATGTAAATATGATCGAGTGAATGTTCTCATCTTTTAGCAAACTGGACATGCACTCTTTAAAGGTGTGTAATTTAAGCCACCAAAAATGAAAATCTGTTAACCACTGATGCTTTATAGCTGTCACAGGTAGAACTGCTAGAGTAACAGTAGTAATATTGACGGAAACACTGGCACTTGACATTTTTAAATGTCTTTTAACATGACCACAATATTTGTGCACTATTCATTGTTGAGAATCTTAACCGTTGATGGGCTGGAATTTGTGGTATGGTTGGAGTCAGGGACTGACTTCAACATGCATTTCAACATTTGTGCTACAAAGACACAGTTTGAATTTTAACTGTAAATTAACATTGTTTTTCTGGCTCTGGGGTTTAGGGTGGAACTTTTTTTTCACCATCTTTTGGTCAGGCCTCTCCCTGCAAGAGCTTGGTGGGTGGTGTTCAATCACAAGGGAGATTGGGATCACCTGGTCTGGCTGCACTGTATAAACGGGTGGCAGTCAGCTAGTCTTCTTTTCTCCCTTGGCTTTAATTATGTCAGGTTTTGTTGAATGAGGTTTATGTGTTAATCCCCCTTTCAATTAGGTAAAATAAACATATTTTGAGTTATGACTCGTGTGGTTTCCCCTCTTTTGTCCAGCCTTGAGCTATTTCTTATGGGGTCCTATAACAGCACCTCCTCTGCTTAACAAAATCAGATCAGCAAACAAAACACAGATTCACTCTTTTATTCAGGTCTTTTCTTTGCTGTGGAATTGCCATTTTCGGCTGCAGAGAGCAAGCCAGGGCTGCGTAGACACAGAGTTATCATGCAGATGTGTTGATGCAGTTGAAGTGCTGGATATGCTACAGTAAATGCAGGTCAGACTCCCACAGCATATTAGGCACCATTAAAGCTGAAAAAAGAGGGATGCTATTGCTCAGCTGATCCAGGAAGGCACTTTGTGGCAAACCTGTTCTGTTAAAAGCCTTTTAAATATTCAGCTTCACTATGGCTGCTTTACAGTGGCTGAAAATTGAATGCCTCTTTGATCTTCTTGTCTGTCACATTGTGATGACATTTGTTTCTAAAAAGGCAAATTAAACTGGGGCTATGATCTCTAAATAACCCACACACTTAAATAGATCAATTGATTTCTGAAGACATCATCTTCCAGTGTGCATGCAGAAGAACTTAGAATATTACAGTTAATCAGCTGTGTTGAAAGAAGCCCTGTCAAGCCATTGACATGTGGGATGTTTAATTAGCTTTTATGCCATTCACACTTCAATGGGTGTTATGCTTCTAGACTCCCAAACAGCCATTATGTGCTGAAACATCATGATTTGTGCCAAGAGAGCAGAGCAGCTTCTCTTGTGCCGTTTTTTTTTTTTTAACGTACACAACAAACCACTGAAGACTGTCACAGTCTCTCACTGGACTATTTGATTAGCTTTCCTATTATACAAGCAAAATTCCCATCTTCTATGTTGATAATTTAGGGAAATGAATAATATTCTTTTTAATTAAATAAACAAATGTTACACATAAGCCTTGTAATTGTGCATTAAGGCGTCAGTAGCTGTTGGTGCCACATCAGAGCTGTAAACCAATTTATTCCTGTACAACAGAACGATATTACACTCCAATCTGCGTTCATTGTTATTACATAAACAATCAAAGTTGGACAAATATTGAATGGTTGTCAATTTGCATGTAAAATATAAAAAAAATAACTGATTTTATGCAGAAAAACTCAGCTACAGCTGCCAGGCTCTTCTAGATATTGGCGGCATGAATATGTTGGGCGACCTAGCATGAAATCAAGAACTGGTGAATCTTTGCATTTTCCAGACATGGCCATCCAGCCGGATGGGCCAGCTTGCTTCTTCTATGACAGGAAATCCTCACTGTTCATTAAACAAATGTGCTGAAACCTAATGTAGACAAAGAAAACTTAAAGGTAGCCCACACAAACAAACTGGGGTCCCCTAATCTAGGTTAACCAACATACAGCTAAGTTCTTTAACTGCCACTTCAATAGATCAAGCTGCAGCAAACTCACTAGATGCTGCTTTAAAAACTTATGGGAAAAAATTCTAATAACCAAATGTACAGCTCAACCAGAACTGAAACAATCTTCTAGGACTAAAATTAAATGAAAACCAAAGTGAAACAAAACCACTGAAGGCTGTGTGTGTGCGCAGGTGGGTTGAGGCGGCACATGAAGATGACTAATTAGTAAGATAAAGCTATCTGTAAGTGTATGCCGCAGGTGGTCTAGGCTCAGGGATCACCAGAGGACATCGGTGCATGTGGAGGTTCTGTTTTAATAGGATGCAGCAGTTGTGGGAAAAGTCAACAGTAGTCAGGTTGGATTTTAAACTATGTCCCACATCCTCCTCCCAACCTTTCCTCCTCCTCCTTCTCCTTCTCCTCCTGGGGCATCTGAGATAGAGATGGAGGTGGAGAGGTTGAGTTAGAACAGGAGGGAGAGGCAGAGCCGCCCATGCACAGTGGTCCATGGAAACACCCAGAACAGACTTAATGGCCCTGCACAGTGATGTGCCCGACTTGGCCCAGTTAGATGATTTCAGCCATAAAAATATTGGCACTGGGTTCTTTTCTGAAGTGTTCAGGGTGTAACATCATGTGTTGGGCCAGGTAATGGCTCTGGAGATGAACATTCTAGCCAGTAACATACTCAGGGAGGTCCAGTTCATAAACAGACTCTCCCACACTAACTACTGCACTCAGGTTTACAGGAGTGTGTCCATGAGGGGCAGATATGCTCTCACACAGTATATCAACCTGCACCATAACAGCATCTTGTAGCGAGGAGTCTGCTAGAACCACAGAAGAGGAACCGACTGAAATTACTGCCACAAAAATCCAGGTTTCAAGAGGATCCATTGTGAGCAAACTGTAACTGAGAAGGAAATGGGGTCATGAGAGAGTTAGTCATGTGAGTGACAGAGGGATTTTCGTCAGTTGCACAACAACAGAAGGATGTATTAGGCCCTGGCACAGAGCAGCTACCAAATGATCTGGTCTGCTACAGCAGCAATGAAAGAAGCTGCTTCAAGTGTGAAGAGCTTATTTTAATTATCAAATACAAGAGTCAACAGCCTGGTGCATTGTCTCCCTCTCTCTAACCCAGCTATTGTGAGCATAGCAAATAACTTTGAATACACAGTGGCAGTAGAACGCTATACGACTCCGGCGACTTCTGATAATGCGGACTTAAAAGTGAGTGGAGGTTTGGAAGCACCTTAAACTCAGGCTGCAGCAACAGATGAAGAATTTAAAGGAATAATAAGTGACATTAGATATAATATGAATGATCAGTCACAGCAAAACATAACCTAGATACAGGTTTCTGGCTTGAGAATGGCACTTTCCTTCATTGCTAAGCTGATGAATATAACAAAAGAGACATGTCTGTCTCTGATATTTGTGAGGATTGAATTGGTTTGTTGTATTAAATACATTTTCCTAAAAATTTTGCTAGAGGGATGAGGAAGAAGTTCTGCCTTGTATGCCATGTCTTGCATAAAAACCTCAGTTCTTTCAGGTTTTCCCTGACAAATCATTAAAGGGAGAATAATTTTCTGTGTTCTTGTCGTGATACATAATTGGCCCATTACACAAGGGATTATAACACCGATACAGTTTGAGAAAAAGAAGAGCATGTAGGGTGGTTTATAAATCCCAGCTCGAAGGGCGTTGTTTCAGGCTATGAGAATAAATCTTCCACTGGGATAATAATGATAATAATGGCTTATCTATTTATCTGTTACTCAAACAGCATCAAGCAAAAAAAAAAAAAAAAAAAACTTCTATCAATTCCTCAAGTAAGAAAGATTTGTTTTCTGAATGCTTTGGGAATATTTTGCTGCAGATGGCTCTGTTGTAGTGAATCTAACAATGTGTTACTCAAACAGCACCAAGCAAAAAAAAAAAAAAAAAAAAACTTCTATCAATTCCTCAAGTAAGAAGGATTTGTTTTCTGAATGCTTTGGGAATATTTTGCTGCAGATGGCTCTGTTGTAGTGAATCTAACAATGTTTAAGAGAATCACTTTGCAAATTGCCTGTAATTGGACTGGAAATCTAGAGTTTTAATTTGTACTACACAAACATAGTCGACCAAGCCCTGCCTGCCCCCATGGGTAAAGCTGCACGCAAGGCATTTTACTATAAGGCCTGGCTCCAGGAGGGTGTAACCACCTCTCTGATCCAAGCAGAGCTTTCCAAAGACACTGATCCATAAAGCGTTTGAATTGCTCTTACTCTTGTTCCTCATCTTAGACCAATTTGTCCTGAAGACCTGGCCAGGAGAGCCACAGTAGTGGGTCTTAAAACCCTGAACTGAGCTAGCACTTCTGCACTTCCAGTTCCCTCGCCCTGAAGTCAACAGGATTTTTTTTGAGATGCCAGGAATAAGTTCTGTTATTAAGACAAAGCCAATACATTTTCATCTTTTGTTTTGTGGCATAACAGAACAAATACCCCACTTGTGATTTTGAATGCTTTTGTGTGTGATTCCCTAACACAGCATATGGCAAACCAGCAAGAGATGTTTTGCATGCAGTAGTAGAGGTGTACCTTGGTGCGATTCTTGGTAACATCTTAGAGTAACAAGAATATTTTAACAAGCATGTTTCACCAATAATAAAACAATCACACATGTCGTCTGTTGGGTGGGATAAAAAGAGGGTCATGTGGCTCAAGGTTTTACAACATGCTCTGAATCTTTTCTATGTGGTGTTCTCAGTTTCTGATTAAGTAAAATGAATAGGTCTTTTGAGTGAGCAAGGTAAAGTACAAATATGGAGCAGTGTCCAACTTCAGAGCTGCTCTGCTGGATTAATGTGGAAAGTAAATAAACTGCTGATGACTGAGCTAAAGTATGCACATATACAAAATTTGCTGTGTGATCCTTGTTTTGTTGGATTCATCTGCCTTTTAGGAGCAGAGGTGGATAGGAGCGGAGTGCATGTATGCAGCAAAACTTGTCTGTGCACCTACATCCGGTTGAAGTTGTCAAGGGAAGTCTTGTGGTAGCAACTGTACTCCAGAGACATATCCTATTATCACATATTTTTTTGATCGGGCTTGTGATGCCTTCCTGTTTCCCTGCTTCTTTCTGCCTTAGAGATTCATCTGCAGAGCTGCGAACCTGTCTTCTCGGTGGCCAACTGTGAGATCTTTTGGCTGAGAGTGCTGTGATTGCAGACCAACCTAGGGATAGGTATTCATCTGAGACTGAGATGGTTACCATGGTAACCACTGTTGGCCCTGCACCGGCACAAAAAAATGCAAGCAGGAGGGGGAAGAGAGAGAGTGCCAAAATGGGTAATCCATCTGAAAACAAAATGTGCAAACATGCCAAATCTCTATGACTCTAATGTTTCATGAAGACCTGACTCAGAGTAGAGCCCAGTGGCATTTGAGTCTCCAGATGTCTACCATACCCAGCTGACAGAGCACATACTTTCTTTGCACCTCCAAGGTATGAGCAAAGTAGTGCAGCTTATTGGATCCTTTGAATGTGAGCAATGAGGATGGAGCCATGCTCTGAAGGCAGAGTGCAAAACTCATAAGAAATTCAAACAAACATATTGATCACTTTAATTACCTTCATTGTCCTTCAGGGTAAAGTTAGGATTAACTGGTAGCTGGCTCGGCAACGCAAAGGAAAACCTTTGTCCATTGGCAAAGTCATCCTTATCCATTGCAGTGACAGTCTGGATCACCTGTTGCACAATACATAGTGTAAATTATTTGAGACATAACATTTAATTAACTGCATTTTCACTGTAATTGCACACAAGACAAATGGTTGTTTTAGTTTCTGTTGCACATCTCATGACTTGTTTACTATAACCGAGCAGCGTCAGAGGTCCGCTGACCTATGTATAACCAACTGGTCTTGCAACACTTTCTCCTCTACCTGAAGAGAACAGAGGAAGAGTAGGTGGTTGTGACCCTAGAATTTCAGAGCATTTGGCTTGTGCACATGGTTCTGACATCTAACAGTGTCACAGGGACTCTCAGCGCCACCTCACTGCTACTTTGTTACCCTTAATTGTTACAAGACACAGTGAGAGTGGGGAGAGAGCTGGTGTTGAGAGAAAAATGACCTGACAGCACTTGTCACCATGGGGAGCTCTTATCTTCACTGTGAGATTTTGGGTGTTGTTGTGCTTCTTGTATCCTTGCACAAGCCTTTGTTTGTGTGCAGCATTAGGAAATGTTTGCTTCAGTTTCCTTATGTGAATGTCACGGCAGTTCTCTATTATGTATTTTTTGTTTTAAAGTATAATGCCAATGTTTTCGCTTACTAATTCTTCAGAAATCTATGAGCTTGCCTGTCGAGGTCTGATTATTGGTGGTGGTTCTCATTCTAATACTTGAATTAAGGCACTGACAATTTCAAAACTCCTGAGCAGTACAGTGCTGTGACTGTTAAATTTATCCTCCTACAGTTACGGTATCTAGGTGTTTCTACCACACTGCTCAGATCCAAAAATCAAACCCAACACCAATTTATTTTATTATTTGCTGGCAGACACGTTTCAGCACCTGCTATTCTCAGCACCATTCACTAATCCTGAAACACTGATTTTGTAAGTTGCTTTAGCCCTACAGTAATACAAGGTTGCAATTTGAAAAACACTGTGCTAACCCAGTAGCTCCTTTTAGTACCAAAGCAGGGTTTATGGTGACGTAGTTGTTTTAAAGGAGTAATAAAGATGTATGTTATTTTTGTTATCGCAGCACATTACACTCTCAGGTGCTGTATGGACACTCACCAGAGGCAAAAGGAAGCCGTGTTAACATTGTTAAGGTGTGTTTGTGGTCATTTTATCTCATGGACAGGTTTATTTTGCCTGTGTGCTGTTGCTATTCAGTTTGATATACTTCTAGCATTTGATTTACCTCTTATCTGTAACTAGGTATTCTGTTACAGTTTTGACACTTGTCAAATAATTAGCAAAATAGCCAATGCTTTGGTTTAAAATGCAAACATCTTAAAACGTTACTGAGCAGCTCTGTTCGTTCACCTGTGTTATTTGAATGAGTGTGCCACTGCCTCTTTCAACACATTATAACTGTGCCCAGGAACCCTGGGGCTGTAATGCAACCACACTTTAAATGTAATGCAAATTTTAATCCAAACTTTTCTTCCACTAGCTTGAAGCTATTAAAATGTGTTTAGTTGTGTCATCCCAGTCTTTACTTCATCAGCCTTTGCCAAACCAGCCTTTCAACCATTTCCATACTGCTGATTGCTCTAAATCTCAAAAAACTCTTAATTTGAAAAAATCTGAAACTACAGAGAGCAAATTGGAATGAGCTTCGGTTTGGAGCTGTCATGGTTTGCTGCTGAGTTACTCATTTTGAATGAGGGATGATTAAGCGACTCTCTCCAATGCCTTTGCAGTGTCTTGTTGCTCAGCTCTCAGTGAGCAAACCAAATTGCTGAGGGAAACAAAAGTTCAGGAGTAAAAGAGGTGACTGAGGTTAATGCACCACTCTCAACACTAAGAGGCATAGATAGGTGGTGCAGATGTTTGTAGGCGAATCCTCAATGTTCACCTGTCCTGGCCTTGAGCTCTCACACACAATGACCTCATCCTGTGTAGCTATCTCTGGTGGATTGTCATTCACGTCCAGGACCTGGATGGTAACAGGAACATGGCTGAGGAGGCTGGGGTTGTCTGTAGCAGAGAGAGAACAAGTAACAAAAAAAAAAAGATAAATGTAAGCCTTAACAACAAAGTAGAACATCAACCCTGTCATTTTTAACTGGGGCACACTGTACTCGTCCTGTGAGGCAGTTTATGAGTTTTGCATTAGGCTGCGCCACCACTGAGGGGCCTAATGTTGCAAAAGGCAATTGTGTGTATTAAAGCACATCTGATCATCTTGTGTAGCGCTGTCTTGTCCATGCATTTATAACGCATTATTTGCCCAGTGCACTGCATGAGCAACTTAAAGTATATGGCATCTAAAACACATGCATTTTTTTTCTCCTGATTAATGTGAAATGGCTTTCTGATCTGTGTGGAAAAACAATATGGAAAAAAACAACACTTGATTTGATTTATTCTTTCAAGCATGTAAAGACAGTTATGTCAACACACATAATTTTACACATATCCAACAAATGCTAATCCAATATCAATTTGCTTATACCTAGTACATGCTTGAATGGAGTAGGAAGAAGTCAGACTTATCCAGTCCTACCCCATGACATCATCTTACATCATTGGTTTGCAAGCAGTATCTCTACATAAATAATTATCTTCTACACCACACAAGTAATATACTAAAAAAATT